GGGTGCCTGCTCTGTACCCGCCAGGTGCTGTTGGCTGGCTGCGCTCTCCCCTGCGTGGGTGTACAGGAGGCACCACCCTCTCTGGACCCTAGCCTTGCAAGGCTGCTGGGAAGGAGAGCAGCCATGCCCTAGCCTTGCCTTTGCTGGCGAGGGGCACTTGCCTCTTGCACCCTTCTCTGGAAGACAAGAGAGCCAGTATGGAGTAGTGGTTCAGAGTGGGAGACTCGTAATCTGGTGAACCGGGTTCGCGTCTCCGCTCCTCCACATGCAGCTGCTGGGTGACCTTGGGCCAGTCACACTTCTCTGAAGTCTCTCAGCCCCACTCACCTCACAGAGTGTTTGTTGTGGGGGAGGAAAGGAAAGGAGATTGTTAGCCGCTTTGAGACTCCTGAAGGGGAGTGATAAAGCGGGATATCAAATCCAAACTCTTCTTCTTCTTCTTCTTCTCGTGCTGCCCTCCCCAAATGTGAGCCTTGCAAGGGTTCTGTGGGGACGCGGCAACTGTGCACCCTTCAGTCCCAGCCTCGCACGAGCCCAGCAAGACTTGGATCTGGGGAGGGTGGCACAAGAAGGGTGCAATAGCCAAGCTGGCTTCACTCGAGCAGAAGCAGGGGCTGGACGAGCGCAGTGGGGTTCATTTGTCCTCTGCCCCTCGCCCTGCCCCACTGCCTTATTTCCTTTTGCAGGCAAGTAAGGCCTCTCCCCCTTTCCTCTGCCCTGCCCCCTGGCCTGCTGCAGGTTTTTGGAGGGTGATGCATAAAGGGAGAGGAGGCTGGGCTGAGCTGTAAAAGGAGAGGGTTTAGCATGACCAGAGGACCATGGCAGGGTTGGTGGGGCTGGCAAGTAATGCCAGCAGGGGCGGTAGTCCTTAGTAAAAGAGAAATAGGTTTCAATCTGTTGCCCAAATGGTAAGTGTGTCGTCTGCCGAACATGCCCTGGGCTGCTGTCCTGTACCAGAGGTGTTTCCAGGGAAGAGGAAGAGAGATAAGTGGAGCCACACAGGTGTCCTGGGAGAGAACTCTAAGCATGAGAGTGCAGAGAGGAAGAAAACGTAGCAGCTACTAGGGTGGGGAAACGGCTTCCTGAAACCTGAGCGACCCTTTGATCGTTCTCAAGCTTAGAACAAGCACGTACCTGACCTCCACAGCATCCTCCATCACTGTCATGTCTGTTTTGCACTTGGCTGATGGGTTGATGGCCAGTTCAGCAGGTGGGATGACAAAGCTCTTGCTCAACGGCAGCCACATCCCTTCCCCAAGAGTATAGGTGAATCTGGATTCAGAGAGAGGAAACCAGTTGGATACGTGGCCCAAGAATGCAAAAAAAAAAAGAAGCAGCATTCATTGCGGACATGAATCTAGATGCAATTCTCTAGCAGGTTATGACTCAGTTGGCAGGACACTTCCTTTGCTTGTGTAATGTTCCCTGTTCAGTGACTGGCATCTAGAGTTAAATATCTCCAGGAAGAGGTGCTGAGGAACACTTCTGCCTGCAAGACTCTGCCGACAGCATCTGTGGTTGAAGGGCCAATGCCTGGATTCACTCTGAGTTAGCTTTGCTGCATTCAGCTATGTCACCTCCTAGCCATATCTGATTGGTTAAGCAGAAAAGTCACAGTTCATAGGAAGAAGTTGGGTTTCAAGACATAAACGGTGTTGCCAAATAGGGCTGTGTGGTTGTGTGCACAAGGAGAGAGGATTGTCAGACGTGTTTTTTCTCTCCCCAGTAGCTCGCCCCTTTCATGCTGAAAATATTCACTTGTGAATATTTGGTGCTACTCTACCTGGCATTTCCCTACTATATGCTGAGGCAGGAAAGGGAGAAAGAACAGCAGAGAACAAGGAGGGATAATATAGATGATTGGTCACTCTGGCTGCATTGAAAAAAAACCTTACCTGAATATCTTGTCAGAAGGTTGTTCTCCCAGCACCAAATCAAATCCACGTTGGAATATGGTATATGGCCATGGCCTGGAGAAAAACAAAACCACAGAAACCATGAAAGCTTTCTTTCTTTCTTTCTTTCTTTCTTGCTTGCTTGCTTGCTTGCTTGCTTTCTGCCTTACTTTCTACGTCACCAAATGGTTCAGGGGAAGTTACAAAAAATGTCAGAACTGGAACAACTACATTAAAACCATGAAATGAAAGCACAAGTCAAGCAGTGACAAAGCAACAGAGCAGAAGACCAGAACAGCAGTGCACAAAGGAAGACAGGAGATACTCACTCAACCAAAGGTTTGGATAAGAGAAGAGTACACACCTCACAATATTTCACCTCATAATTGCACGTGAGCACGCAATAGCAGCCAAACACAAGACAGGACAGAGTGAGTGACTCTCCGCCACAGATGGTTTGCTGTGGCACCCAAGGAAGGAGCTCCTCAACACCCTTCAGGCAACTTTGAGGTAAGTAAACACAGCAGAGATATTTCTCAATGGAGTCCAGCACATAGCATGCTAAGTCCCACATGGATGCTAGGCCATGGGACTTCCCAGACTCTTTCATTCACTTGTATCAGTGATGAGGAGGTTTCTTACAGTAACCCTGAATAGGAACTTAGGCTTGCAAAAAACAAACAAACCCCAAACTGATTAATAATGGACACTCCCACACTTATACTATAGCAATTAAATTTTCAATGCAAGAGATTCTACATTACAGCCTTCAACTTATTCACTATTCCCCCCTCCCCATTTAGCATGTTTATTGCATCACAAACAAACAAACAAACAAACAAACAAACAAACAAACAGAGATAGATATGCCAGTCTCTCTCTGTTTTCACTGCAGACCTAATAGCTAGGGTGTGCAGATGCAGAAAAAGACAGGTTTCTTTCAGCACCTTTAATACGGTCAAACCTTGGTTGTCGAACGTAATCCGTTCTGGAAGACTGTTCAACTTCCGAAATGTTCAGCAACCAAGGCACGGCTTCTGATTGGTTGCAAGAGCTTCTTGCACTCAAGTGGAAACTGCGTCAGACATTTAATTTCCGAAAAACGTTCCAAACCTGGAGCATTTACTTCCAGGTTTTCAGCATTCGGGAGCCAAAACGTTCCAAAACGGAGGCGTTTGGGAACCAAGGTTTGACTGTAGTTGTACAGAAGAGGGAATTCCAGCAGGTGTAGCTTGACCATATGTAACAGTAAAAACATCTAGTTTGCTTTTAAAGTCAATACACATTACCAGCTTCAAAACTCAGTGAGGTCATTTCCCCATCCTGCCTCACATCACTGGATGCGTTTCCAATTCACCAGCTGTCTGTCTACACCAGTGTGTGGAGAGGGAACATGGATGTCTTCCTATGGCTTGCATTTTCAAAGTATATCAAAGCTGGTTTGGGGGGAAACGCAATCTAAACACAGTATTTCTCAAGGAACAGCAGGACAGATGTGGATTGTGGCTAATGTCATGTGCATTAAGAAGAAGAAAGCTTCTGGCCTCACCCAGGGCCGGATTTAGGTTTGAGGAGGCCCTAAGATACTGAAGGTAATGGGGCCCTTTATATGTCCAGCTGTCCTTTGTCAACAACAAATTGTCACTGTTTTTTGTGTTCAATATATGCTATATGGTAATTTATGGACAGGGGGCGCAGGTGGTGCTGTGGGTTAAAGCACAGAGCCTAGGACTTGCCGATCAGAAGGTTGGCAGTTCGAATCCCCGCGACGGGGTGAGCTCCCACTGCTCAGTCCCAGCTCCTGCCCACCTAGCAGTTTGAAAGCACATCAAAGTGCAAGTAGATAAATAGGTACCGCTGCGGCGGGAAGGTAAACGGCATTTCCGTGTGCTGCTCTGGTTTCTCCAGAAGCAGCTTAGTCATGCTGGCCACATGACCTGGAAGCTCCCTCGGCCAATAAAGCGAGATGAGTGCCGCAACCCTAGAGTCAGCCACAACTGGACCTAATGGTCAGGGGTCCCTTTACCTTTAATTTATGGACCTAATAGGTATCTAAAGCCATTTGCCACTGTTGCTGTATGTATGTTTTATTTTATTTGTTTTTTATCTTATATTTTGGAAATGTACATCCAGTTTTTTCCCCTTTAAATTTTTTGGGGGGCCCCAAGAGAGTGGGGCCCTAAGCTATAGCTTGTTTAGCTTATACACAAATCTGGCACCAGTCTCACCATAAGGCAAGAAGCTAGAGGTTAGAGAAGGGCTAACAGGAAGTACATAAAAGGACTGTGCCTAAGCTATAGGTCAGTTGTGCTGACCAGCCATGCTCAGGGATTGCATGTCAGGAGTGGGCAGACTTCAGGCTTCTTGGATCTAATATTTTACTTGAACCCCAAGATCTACCAGCTAGAGCCAGGTGCAAAAGATATATAGCTAGAATTAAAGAGCAAGGTACTTCTGAGACTAGGGTTTTGTTTTTAGAACTGTGCTCACACTCTTTTCATATACCAAAGTCCACTCCCGGCTAGCTTTCTTCACCTCAGCAGCCTAATTTAGTTAAGTTATTGCTATGGTTAAACAATTAGGAGTGATAAACACATCCAAATTTCTGCCCCCCCAAATCCATCCATCTACCAGGAGAACCCAATCTGTCTTCTGCCCACCCCAGTTTAAATCTTGTTCCCACAACTTCAGAGCTTCAAAAGACTTGCCCACAGTTCTCTGAAAAGTTGTGTGTTATCCTGTGGTGACATTGGTACAGCTCTGGCTGAGGTATAATTACAGCCCATGACTCATACAAAAAACACAAGATATTTTGAAGGGCAGCTGAAAATTATAAGGTGCAGCCACCATTATGAGTCAACCTCTAGCACAATAACCCACTCCTTTCCCCTTTTTCCTTTTTAGCATTCTTGTTATACTTGTAATTTCTGGCTGGATTCTGAATCAATGTGAAGATAATTCATCCATCATCCAACATAGGTGTTCAAAGGAAGGGATTTTAGCCATAAGCGAGAAAAAAACAGAGTTGTTCAAGAGAGCATGAGCATTCCAGGTGGTTGAGGGTAGTAGCTTTGGAGATGTAAGTGTAATAAATTGAATTTTTACACTGGTGTAGCTCAGTCGGTATAGCATGAGACTCTTAATCTCAGCGTTGTGAGTTCGAGTCTAACGTTGGGTGAAAGATGCCTCCTGCATTGTTGGGGGTCAGACTAGATGACCCCTGGGGTACCTTCCAACTCTACAATTTGATTATTCTGTCTAGACTATCCAGGCTCACCACAAGTATTAGTTAGTAGGTTTAGCCTGTTCTCAGGTCTGTGACAGAACCCTCAAGGGAGCTAACAAGCTCAAAAACCATTTACTCCACTGACCATGAATCCAACTCAGGGGAGCTGCCTCTACACCAGCAAAGCCAAGTGGCTTTCTAAACTTCATGGGGGTAGAGTGATCTAACCCCAACTCTGCAATGAAAGGTTCATGAGGATCTGTCAGTCCCCTGGGACTCATGAAGAAGGCTATCTATTGCCTACAAAGCACCAACAATGTGAACATTGCAAAACGAAGAAATCCAACTAACAACAGCAATCCCAGACCCCACAAATGGATACACTAGCCTATTTCTAGGCAATTTTGTATGTGTTCATAAGTCCATTTGGTCACATTTCTGCATTAATCTGTTATGCATTTGAGGAGTTTGTGGGTTTGTTTGTTTGTTTTAAAAAAGTCTGTATGAAAGGGTTAGGACCGATATGAGGGCCAGACTGCGATAGTGGCTTCACCCAGTGGTATATCGATGAAACAGACGTCGTTCCTGAGCCACTCAGCCAGCAACGCCGATTTCAACATTGGGCCACTGGAAGCAGAGGGATTCAGGAGTAGCAGCAGTTCCACCTACAATATACTGCCGGGTGAAGCCACCAACATGCTCTGCCCCTCAACCGCAGAGGGAGGGCCAAGCTGTATTGCTGGGCCAATGCAGCTTATTCCTCCCTTTGCTACTCTAAACTGCTACTGCCCCCAGGTAAGTGAACCCCAGTGCCTCACATGAGAGCCAGAGAGGCATGGGGCTCACTCAGCTGGGGGACGGGAGTCTTCCCGCCCCCCCAGCTGAGCAGTGCAAACAAGCTGTGTTGTCCTGGCCCCTGAGGCACTGGGGTGAAAGAGCAGCAGCTCCTGCAGTGAGAGCTACAGAAGTTTCACCCTCGCAGGCTAGGGGTAAAGCAGCTTGTTGTTTCAGCATTGCTGTGTATTGCCAGATTGCAATGTTTGACTGGTGATATATCACAGTGTTGAAAACCTCACACCACCCAGCCCTAAAGTTAAAGGACCTCTGACCGTTAAGTCCGACTCTGGGGTTGCGGCGCTCATCTCGCTTTACTGGCCGAGGGAGCGAGTGTTTGTCCTCAGACAGTTTTTCTGGGTCATGTGGACAGCATGACTAAGACGCTTCTGGCGAAACCAGAACAGCACACAGAAACACCGTTTACCTTCCCGCCAGAGTGGTACCTATTTATCTACTTGTGCTTTGACGTGCTTTCGAACTGCTAGGTTGGCAGGAGCAGGGACCGAGCAATGGGATTCGAACCACCAACCTTCTGATTGGCAAGCCCTTGGCTTTGTGGTTTAGACCACAGCGCCACCCGAGCCTCCCTGGAGAGAGCATTCTACAAACAGGGAGCCACCCTCCGGACCTCTTGTGGGGGAGGCACATGAAGAAGGACCCCAGATGATGATCGCAGTGTTCGGGTCGGTTCGTATAGGAAGAGGTGATCCTTGAGGTATTGTGGTCCTGAGCTGTTTAAGGCTTCATAGGTCAAAACCAACACTCTGAATTGCACCCGGAAACTAATTGGCAACCAGTTTAGTCGGACCAGGATATGGTACAATGGGCAGAGTGTCCCGCATAGACCACAGAGTTTCCTACTCAGTCATAATATTCATGGAGTGACTTTGGTAAGTCACTGTCTCTCAGCCTAATTGCTTGTGAGAATAAAAGGTATACGTTTTGAGAACTCTCAGTTTTCTTTGAGCAATGAAGCACGCTGAGAAGACAATGTGGAACAGTGGAATGAGTGTTGGGACTTAAGAGTGGAGAGAAGAGATTTCAAACTCCCACTCCACCAGAAAACTTCCTGGTTGTCCTTGGAACGACTGATATGCTAATCTATTTCTCCACTTGCTGTGAAGTTTTAAAAGTTGGGGGAGCCAAGCACACGGCTTGGATGGACTTGGAGGAAGGGTGGAATAAGCAGACAGGGGAAGAGGAAGAAAGGGGATGGTGAAGGTAAAAAGGGCACTTGTGAGCCGTTCCACGTAATTAGGTATCATTTTGGTCAGCGATTCAGATTGAAGATAATTTCCCAATAAATACAATGGATGAGAAAATGGTGGCGACTGTTGCAACAATAAATAAGCACTTTCATTTCTAACCCAAGTGTCACAGCACCACAAACAACAAAAGGTTGATTGCAGAATTATGTATTTTGATGTTGTTTCAAGGCATAGATATGACTGTACTTTTTTCTGCTGTTGAAATCGATGGCTGAAACGGGAAATTTTTTCATTCATTTTTGATAGCAGGACCAGCCTGAATAAGGAAAGATTTCCAAAGAGATATACAAAGCGTACTTCATGGGCCTCATTTATACCTCTCAATACTCAGGTAGATGGGCTTTCTTTCTATTCTGCAGGCTTGCAGTGAGTGAGGAGCAAAAGATCAGAAGGACTATTGTTCCACAGACATACTGGGGTGAGCATATTTAAAAAAAATAAGGGAGAAGTTCCCATTTAGGTGTGAGCAGGGCTGGATTTACGTATAAGTTAAGCAAGCTATAGCTTAGGGCCCCACTCTCTTGGCCCCCCCCCCATTTCACTATTAATATACTTCTTCTTAATTGTATTTCAGTTCAACAATTACTTTGCTAAAATACATATTTCATTATGTGCAAATGGCTACCTATTAGGTCCATAAATTACCATATAGCATATACTGAACACAAAAAGCAGTGACAATTTGTTGTTGACAAAGGACAGCTGGACATATAAAGGGCCCCATTATCTTCAGTAGCTTAGGGCCTCATCAAACCTAAATCCGGCCCTGGGTGTGAGGGGAGTGAATTAAGTCAGATAGACAACTCTGTGGAGCCAGGTTTGAGCAAGGCTCCTGTTAATACAGACTCACTAATGGTTCATTGTCCTTGATTACTGATTAGAACTAGTTAGTCAAAGTTAAGTATTTTTGTATTATTAGCAAAAGGCCCCCTGAGTTGGACTGTCCAGCTCTCCTACTTCCTCACTTCATCTGTTACTGAAGCTCTTGTGTCAGATTGACCCAAGCTAACCTTATTTCCCCAAATTGAACCCAGACCCTAAGGAAGAAATGAAGGCCACTTTCCCCATCACCTACTGACTGATTGTAGCTGCATTGTAGAACATATGGATTCTGGGTCCACAACCTGGCTTCTTCAGTGAAAAAGGATGGGAAAGACTGAGCTGCTGCCAGTCAGAGCAGGCAACACTGGGTTAGATGAAGAAATAGACTGCTAGAAAAAGGCAGCCTCTTATGTTCCAAACCCAGAAGTGGTTACTTGTCATTAGCAAAGGCAATGCCAGAACCACAGCAATGAATCATGCAGAGTTGAATCTTCTGGGTGAATCCTTTGGGCTGAGAGGAGTCTTTAAATGTTCAATTTATTTCTCTCTTGTGGTACGCTAGAGTGTTTTGGTACACAGGTTGAGAATTACTGGCCAAACCAAAAAATGAGTCTGAAAAGACACAACTTAAGAACTACCGCCCCATATCCCTGCTTAATGTGGATTATAAAATTTTTGCAGACATTTTGGCTAAAAGGTTAAAAAAAGTATTAGTGGAGGAGATACATAAAGACCAAGCTGGCTTTCTCCCAGGTAGACACTTGTCTGACAATACGAGGAATATAATCAACATTTAGGAGATGCTACAAGTGAATATTAATACTAAAGCTGTTTTAATTTTTGTAGATGCGGAGAAAGCCTTTGATAATATTTCTTGGAGTTTCATGAAGAAAAATCTTCAGGGGATGGGGGTTGGTCAAGGGTTTGAAAATGGTATAAGTGCAATTTACTCAGAACAAAAGGCCAAACTAATAGTTAACAATGTGGTGACAGAGGAATTTAAGATAGAGAAAGGGACACGACAAGGCTGCCCAATTTCCCCATTGCTGTTTATTTCGGTCCTGGAGGTTTTGCTAAATATGATCAGAAGGGACCGTCTGATTAAAGGTATACAGGTCGGAGCTAAACAGTACAAACTGAAAGCTTTTGCAGATGATTTAGTATTGACGTTACAGGAGCCAGAATCTAGTACTAAAAGAGTATTAGAATTGATTCAGGAATTTGATCATGTGGCAGGATTTAAGTTGAACAAGTTAAAAACTAAGGTGCTTGAGAAAAATTTAACACCGATTGAGAAAGAGAGGTTTCAGAAGGAGACAGGTTTAACATTGGTTAAGAAAGTAAAATACTTGAGGTTAACATGACTGCTAAGAATTTAAACCTATTTAAAGACAATTATGAGAAATGTTGGTCAGAAGTGAAAAAGGATTTAGAGATATGGTCAAACCTGAAGCTTTCCTTGTTAGGTCGAATTGCTGTTATAAAGATGAATGTATTGCCAAGAATGTTATTTCTGTTTCAATCATTGCAAATCTTGGACAAAATGGACTGTTTCAAGAGGTGGCAGAAAGATATTTCTAAATTTGTCTGGCAGGGCAAGAAGCCCAGAATAAAATTTAAAATACTAACCGATGCAAAGGATAGAGGTGGATTTGCCCTGCCAGACCTTAAACTTTATTATGAATCAGCAGCATTCTGCTGGTTGAAAGAATGGCTGCTTGGATTTAGAAGGTTTTAATAATGTTTTTGGGTGGCATGCATATTTGTGGTATGACAAGGTTAAAGCACATAAAGCATTTAAAAACCATATTGTCAGGAAAGCATTGTTAAATGTCTGGATAAGATATAAGGACTTACTTGAAAACAAAACCCCAAGGTGGTTGTCACCGATGGAAGCAAAGGCTCAGAAAAGGCTCAATATGGAGGCCAAATTGCCGAAATATTGGGAAATTTTGGAACAAGAAGGAGACAAATTGAAATTGCAGAGTTTTGAGAAATTAAAAGACAAAGTGCGAGACTGGCTTC